CACACACACACACACACACACACACGCAAGTTTTCTAATGGTTCGTGTTCTCCTGCTCACCTTTGCTTCCAAGCCTTTGCACATGCTATTCCCTCTACTAGTGATGATCAATTCTTCCTTTTGCCTGGTGTATTCACCCTTCCAGCTTATGGCCTGCTCCTTCTGGAAACCCTTTCCTGATTCACTGCTTTTCCTCCAGCCCCTAGCAAGTCTGAGTTGGTTGTCTGAAGCAGACAACCATCCAAACCTTCCTTAATGTATGCAAGTTAGAAATATAGGAAATGATTTTCTCTAGCACCCAGTAATCTGTAACCTAGTTGGGGTGTGTGTGTGTGTGTGTGTGTGTGTGTGTGTGTGTCCAGTACCCTCACACCAAAGGGTTTGAACTCCAACTACATTCAGTGGTAACAGGCTTGATGGAGCACTTTCCCTTCTACAAATCACTTCTCTCTCCCCTCTCAGTGCTTCCTGGAATCACTTTCCAAATAATCTACTTGCACATCAATGTTTGTTTCAGAAGTAATACACACTGACATGGCACTCCTCCACAGCAATCATCACGTCAGTCATCCCCCTGCATTATAACTGTCTCCCTGTAAGTGTGTCTTAATCATTAATTATAAACTCTGTGGTGTAGGAACCATGTATCCCCAATACCTGTCCTAATGCCAAGCAGGTAGTAACCCTGACCCTTGAAATAAATGCTCATAGATAAATCGATACTTGACTAGACTTAGGATGCACATATGTGCAAGTGGATGAATGGATAAATAAGTAAATGAATGAATGAATGTTTTCAATTGTATTGGTAACAGGACTGCCTGAACAGCACCCTTACTCCCTTGAACAAGACTTACCTTTTTTGAGCAATCTTCATCCGAATCTGATCCTAGAGGCTGATTTTTCCCAGACTCTCTCAAAAAGAAGGACTTCCTTTTCTTATAACCAAAGATCTTTCTCTTTTGAGGGGAAAACAATGATGCTTCAAGAGAATTAAGTGAACTTCTGTCAATTCCCATGGCAACCAGAGCCTTATAAAATGAACAAAAGCAAACAGATTATACCTCCTCATAAAGCCTTGCAAATGACCCCAACCTTAGAGTGGAGGAACTCTCCTGTCTTCTGGTAGCATTGTACCATTTAGGTTGCCCATCATCTAACTGGAAAATGCTAGCTCTGTCTCTACTTATGTGGGAGGAGCATATCTGCTTTTGCACAGAGATTGTAGCCATCCAAGGCAGTATTGGCTCTCTTTTATCTCTCTGTATCACTACGCCTTAGCACAGCATCTAGTATGTTCATGCATTTATTCATGATACAGATATTAAGGACTTATGATAAAGTTCCCTCTGATAAATCACTATTGAAGATGAGAAAGATTCTAAAACACAGTCCCTGCCCTGAAAATCTTAGAATTGGGCTTGAAGAATGTAAAAAAAAAAAAAAAAATCTATTAAAATGGCTTAACAAATATGACAGGGAGGGAAAGACAATCATGGTTGTTGCCCTCGGACCCCCCTCAAGCAAAGGCCCTGAACGCAAATTTCTCCAGATTTCCACGAGAAAGTGTCAATCAGAGCCTGGATTTATATATACATAACTTACATCCTCTAGTCAGTATTGTGGGACATGCCCAAAGGCCCAGGCTTCAGAAAGTCACAAAGCACCAAACATTCCCTGTTCTCAAGAGCCCTATGCCTGGATAGCTGTGTGAGAGACAGCAGCACAGCCAATCTTCAGTGGGCTAAAGTTCTCAGGAGAGCACCAGTAGAGGAAGCACTGAGATCAGGCTCTAGGTGGCAAACTTGAACTCCAGGCCACATTGACTCTGAGATCCTCCCTTCCCTCCCTCAAACAGAACCCACTGTCTGACCCCACATCCCTACCTCCTTTTCCTCCTTTAGCAGCTGCTGGGCTTCCTGAAACATCTTTTCCTTGGCCTCTGTCTCTGCAGCTACATTTCTGTTCTGCTCCTCGTAAGACATGGTGACGACAGCCAGGGTTAAGTTAATCAGGTAGAATGAGCCCAGGAAGATGACCACCACAAAAAAAAAGACTGAATAGAGCCCACAGGTGCGCAGGGTCTGCAAGGGACAGAGCATGTGCTTCATCTGAAGCTTTCTTCCACAGAGTGATGACTGTCATCTCAAGCCAAGATTGCACAGGAGCAGACAATTGGTCTTCCCGCAGCACTGGCTGGCTTAACTGACCACAGCATTGTCTGCAGCCCCCCAGCCCCTCAACGACTCCTGATGTCCTGTCTCTCAGTGGTGAGATGCCATCCATACTGTCACATGGAAGTTTGGGGTCTTTACTATCTATGACTTTCTCAAGGGCATTTGCATTTTTAAAATTTAAGGCAAGAGAGATAGTGCCGGTGGTGACACTTCAGAAGTAGGCCATCTGGAGAACGGTACTATTCTAAGAAGAGGAATGTTTTTGTACCCTTCTTCCAAATAACACATTTATAATTTCCTTGAAGTTTCTAACAGAATTTAATAGTACCACTGCTAACGATGAAACAGAGATTACGAAAGTGGAGGATAGACAGTAGGTTATAAATAAATGATAGATAAATAAGTAAACGATAGAGGGGTAGGAGATGGAAGGAAGCGGGAAAAAGGAGAGACTCTAAATAGATAACCTGTTGATAAAGCTTCTCCCAGGAATCTTGGGTAATAAGCCGGAACATGGCAAGAAAAGACCAGCCAAAGTGGTCAAAATTCGTATAATTATAGTCAGGATTATAGTCGGTGTGGCTGCATTCAAATTGCTCAGAACAGGCATTTCTAGATAAAGGAAACAAAGAAACAGAGAAAGAATTACATACCCCATGGCCCAGCTTCCCTTTTACCCCCAATAGCCTGGTTCTTCAGAGGACTAAGGGCTCATACCAGAAGCCCTATGAAAGAAATATCTCTAGACTGGCCATTCCCTTGTCTGCAAACCTCCCACTCCACACCTTAATGTGGACACTAATGGGATCATTTTCCAATGGATTGATTAATAAATTCATGTTAGCAAGTTCTTCACTGAAATTAAGAGCAATTACCCAGTGAACAATTGACAGTAAAACAACTCATGCAACAAATCTTAAGTCTCCTTCTCTCCCCAGTCCCTTGGTCCCACTTCCTAGAGGTAACAGTTACTTTTGTAACTTTCCAAAAATCATCTATGACTATAGAAGCATGTATATATTTATATACATCTTTTACAATACACAAATGGGAGCATCCCTTGAGCACTCTCCTGCAGCTTGCTCTTTCTATGGGACAATATAGCTTAGAGGTCATTTCACATCAGTATACGAGGAGATACCTCATTTACTTTCATGCCTTCAGTCCTATGATTTATTTAACTGCTCAGCTAATGATAAATATTTAGTTTTCAGTGATTAACAGCCCTTTGCTCTTACAAACATTTGGGCAATGGGTATCTTTGAATGTAGGTCTTGCCTATATTACTAATGCACACATCATTGAGTGTATCTACAGAGTATACTAAGGGTATGTACTGTTCATTTTTAATAAATACAGTATGTTAATCAAAGTAATATGTGCACAGAGTTTTAAAATTATGTGCACCAAAAAGCTTGTAATGTAATAATTTTATTATTCTTTATGTACCCTAAATTCAACAACTTTTTACTCACTTATATCAGTATCTCTAAATACAGTGCTTACATTGATATCCTATTCATCAGTCTTAGTCCTTGTTGACTAACTCCCCTTTATGGTAGATGAGGGTTAGCTCTCCCACACCCCACACCACTTCATCACTATTCACATCACTCTTTGTAGAAAAACGTGGTTACCTCCACCAACGGTTCTCCGGGTTGGGGACATTTTTTTTCTTGGCTTTTGTTTGTTGCCCTTTTCTGGTTTTACTTCCTCATTTTTCTGGAGCATCTATCCAATAGCGTCTTAAGAAGATTGAGTGATCTTTATTCACCTTTGCAATAAATTGACAGCTTAACCAGAAATAGAATTTGGGGTTGAAAATCATTTTTCCTTAGAACTCTGAAGGCACTGCTCAGCTATTATCCTGTGTTGCTATTGAGAATTATGTGCAATTTTTGATTTTTGCTCCTTTCCAGGTGAGTTTCTTTCTCCTTTAGTTTTAGTTTTGAAATACCATGATAATGCATGTGGCATGGTCCCTTCTTATTCATTATGCTGAGCACTTTATGAGGCATTAAGGAACTTGCATGCTTAGTTCCAGGGAGGTTCTATATAACATTTCTTCACTGATTTGCTTTCTTTTGTTTTTTTTATTTCTGAGCTCTCTTTCTGGAAATTCTAGTTAATCAAAAGTTGGAACTATTAGGTTGATATTTATTCTTATATTTCCTGTCTTTGTCTTTTTTTTCTACTTTCTGGGCTATTTTCTCAACTTTATCTTTCAGTTCTATTATTGAATTTTTGTAAGCAAGTTTAAATTCTAATAAATTTTTCTTGTTTTCTGATTTTCTTTTTTCATAACAAGGTATTTTTTTGTATACCATATCTCTTTTGGTTTCACCCATGACACAAGTTAAAGTTTTTAAAGCCATTTTGGTTCTCTGAATTATTATGGTTTTGCCCAGGGCCACTTTTTTTTGTTTATTTTGGTATCCTTTATACTAATAAAGGCTTCCTTAAGCCTGGTGACTCTGGGATATTCAGTGGCACTAATCAGAGTCCTGACAAGCTGATGGGGATCTATTTGGTGGGCAGTGTGGGACTTGGTGAGTGGTGGTCTTTTCTTTGGGGTGAGTGAGGAGAAGGGTAGCCATTTTGCCTTCTTCCCCCAGATCTCAAGAAAATTCTGTGAAGTCCCAGTGCCCTCCAACTTCCAGGAGGCTGTTGAGAATAGACCTACCATAACTGTTCTTCCTACTCATTACCATTCAAAATATAAGCCTGTTTTGTTCAATCTCCTCTTGGATGCACCTTCTCATCAGCTTATGTAGGTAATTAACCCTCTCTTCCAGGGTTCCCATCACAGTCACTCATACCAAAATGAGAAATGCCTATTATAGTTTTCTCTCCCCTTGACTTCCCACCTATTCACTCACACATGCATTCGTACACACAAGTAACATCAGCATCCCTCTTTAGTCTGCAAGTCCTATTCTTTCTATCTCCTACATAGCTCTAGAATTTATCCACCCATTTTTCTATATCACTATTATTTAGCTTCAGAGTTCTCACCTGTACTAACAGTCTCATAAGTGGCTTCCTTATCTGTCCATCCATTCTCTACATAGCAACCGCACATGATTTTTCAAAAATTCTAGTATGCCCTAGTCATTTCCCTGCATTAAAAGCTTTCCATGTTTCCTGTGTGCATTATGATTAAGGTCAAATTTTCTAGCATTGATGGACTGATAGACTTCATGGTTGACTCCTGTCTCCACTCCTACTTCCTCTCCTGTCCTTCTGCCCAAAAAGCCACTGAGCTTCTTGCCATCCCCAAGATGCTCTCATGCCCCAAGGCCTTCACCCTTCTGTTCATACTGTCTGGCCTTACTTGCTCCATGTCCTCCCCTTTTGGAACCTCCTGCTCATACTTCAGATCTGAGTTGTAGTCACAAGCCAAGTAGTCCTCAGGGAAGGAAGCAATGAGCAAAGGATGGAGGCTGGCCCACGGCCCTGAACTGCCTAGGAAGGTGACCTCAGACATTCTCAGAGTGCCATCTCTTAGGAAACTACCATGCTATGATCAGTGTAGAATGTCACAGACTAGGAGTTCATTGCCTATAAAATTCCTGAGCCTTCTTATTATGCCTAGACTGAGAGTTATGCCTGGCATATAAACTTGGAGTGAAAAGAACACTACAAAGACCAATTAGCAACCAAGTCTGCTCTTCTCTGTGTCAGGGGCCCTCAAACTTTTTAAACAGGGGGCCAATTCACTGTCCCTCAGACCATTGGAGGGCTGGACTGCGGGCCCTGGGACGAGTTGGCTGCTAAGCAGGACAGGTAGCAGTGGCAAAAACACCTGGTGGGCCGGATAAATGTCCTAGGCGGGCTGCATGTGGCCCATGGGCCATAGTTTGAGGAAGCCTGGTCTAGATGATACACCCCCCCTGGGGTTTTGCCCATTATAATCACATACACTGGTGTTGGTGAGGGGCCAGAGAAGCACCATATGCAGCAGCTGTTGGGCCCCCTTAAAGATAAAGACACTATGGGCACAATGTGAATTCAGGAGACCTCATGTTAGATTAAAGCCTACTGTGTCTTGCAAGTGCAAAAAACCTTTCGTAATTCTCCAGACAGGGTCACACTTTTTTTAGAACCCACATGTCTTCCTTATAACAATTCATCATACTTTCTAGCAGTCATATTCCACTTAACCATGGGTACATGTTTTGAGAAATGCAACATTAGGTGATATCATGGTTGTGAAAACACCATAGAATGCACTTATACAAATCTAAATGGTATGGTCTACCAAGCACTTTGGTTATGTGGGGTAGTCTATTGTTTCTAGGCTATAAACCCACACAGTGTATTACTGTACCAAATACTGTAGGCAACTGTTACACTAGAGTAAATATCTGTGTATTTAAATGTAAAAAATGAGCAATAAAAATTATAATAATATATAATTATTATTATAATCTTGTGGGACTACTGTCATGTATATGGTCCATCATTGACCTAAATGTTATTATGCAGCACATAACTGTATTTCCTCTATGCCCATCTTCCCTGGAAGATATCAGTTTCACAAGTGTGGTGCTGCCTTGCTCATAATTTCATTCCTTGGATCTAACTCAGACTTGGACACACTGTAGGCTCTTGATATCTATTTGTTGTTGAGAAGTGAATGTAATGTATTTCATCAGAGTTCCTTGCACATCATCTCAACTTGAAATACACTCAATAAATCTTTGCTGAATTGAATCTTTCACCACAGAGAATGCTGATATCCTAGAAGAAAGAAGGGTTTCCCCACAGGACAAAAAGCCTACCTGTTGGGGGTGAGTGTATATGAATGTACATACAAGTGTATATCTAGTTAGAGGCAGTGGTGATCAACAGATCAGCAGAGAGAAGTGTGCTCAGGGATCTTGCAACAGGTTGATGTCATGCAATAGGAAACAAGGGCCTCCTGGGGCTCTCAGTCTAACATCACTTCTCACCTTTGAAAGTCTTGAATACCTACTCCATAAAGTTGGAAAATCACTAATTTTTCAGTATATTTCCTATAAGCTACTAATTCAACATACCTAAGGGTAAAAGCTGCTCTGAATACTTGAAAATAATTTTTAATTTAATATGACAAGTCCAAACTTACTTAGACACATGACCTAATTAGTACTGTGTGAGAACTATTATCATTGCTTCCACCAGTGATTAGATAAAGACTATTTTTCCACATCATTCCAAAAGGTCTAGAGGTGCTCTGCTGGGGGAAATATGGAGAGTGTAAGCCTCTTACCTGCTACCCATCCAGGTGCCACACATTTTGAATTCAGTGGAATTTTCTTTCTTTTCAAAGCAAGATTCTAAGAGTGGAAAGAGTCATAAATTCAGATTTTAAAACAACACTGAAAGTAAATAGAATATGCCAACATATCCTTAAAAATAGACTGTTCTACACCCTCTAAAATGATCAGAGTGGGTATCCAGAAAGAAACTGGGGTTAAAGCCCTCAGAAAGGAGCAAGAGAAAAGGAGGGAAAGGAAGAAGAAAGGGGAAATGGGAGAAGGAAACAGTAACGTTGCCACCACCACCCTGCTTCTTGGTACATAATACTGAACTGGAAACTATCCCTGGAGGAAGCTGGACACAGACTCTGCCCACAACAGACGCAGAGAAAGTAGAGTCACATGAAATGTGGGACACATGAAATATGGGTAGGTTTTATCTCAGTGTGGAGAGGGTGGACACAGAAAGAGGTGTCATTGGAGAAAATATTTGAGGAATGGAACTGGGAAGTTGCTGGTTCTCTTTGATGAAATCCAGGCATTCTGAACACATGTGCAAGACATTACAAAGAAGTAGCCTGAGATCTAAATGGCAAAGGCTGGGAACAGACAGTGCTCTTGTGGGTGCGTCTTCAGGCTTTTCATTCTCCATGGAAATCTAAAGAATGAGGCAGTCCTCTGAGAATACATTGCTCACATGAGCACCCAGGAGAGGTAAAGTCCTCCTTTGCTTCCAAGACTGCAATGCAGGCATGCAGGCAGTGCGAGAGTGAGAGGAGGTAAGTCAATGTGAACCACACACATGCCCAGAAGTGAATGGCAGGGTATTTACCGTTAGCTTTACTGTTATCTCTATCACAGTCTTTCTTGATACATTTCTGGTTCAGGCCTCCCATGAAGAGCTGCTGAGCTATCAAGGCAAAGATGCTAAGGCAGAAGAGGGTGAGGATCATCACATTGACAAGTTTCTTCACAGAACGCAGCAAGGCTCCAACAATAACCTTCAGACCTGGAGAGGAGGAGGACAGGTATGGAGGGAAGCCCATCCCCCCACAGCTAGGCATGGGCTGGGGACAAGGAGGAAGCAATGGGAAACTGGCCTAGCCTAGGATTCTGGTGCCTTGAATTCTTGTTCAAATTCTGCTTTAGAAGCTGTGCATCATCAGACTCTGGGACTTGACCTCTTTCCCCTGTCCTGTGCTTGGTTTAGGGCCACTGTGAGAAGCAAGTGAGTGGAAACATGCCACACAGACACGAGGCATAACTTAATGACAGCTGGGGCCATACTAGGAAGTGAGATAGACCTATACTTAAAATTTAGTAGTTACCATCTATTATCAAGGTACATTCGGTGCCATGAGACACAGCCAAATTGGGATATGCAGGGACAGAAGAAGGAGCTTTCCAAGTAATAAGGGTACCCTAGGGGGGAAACTCAGATTATTGGGATTACAAATGGGTGTTTTTCTTTCCCTTCACCCCTTTAAGAAACATTTATTAAGCACTTACTATGTCCATGGCACACTGTTAGACTGCCAATATTACAAAATAAGAAGGGCATAATCTGTGGTATGCTAGTAAATGATTAAAATTGGCTCTTCGCATGAATTAGAACCTTCTCTAAAGAAGACAGACAAATGGCTAACAAACACATAAAAAATGCTCGTCATCCCTAATTATTAGAGAAATGCAAATCAAAACTACCCTGAGATACCATCTAACCCCAGCGAGAATGGCCCACATCACAAAATCTCAAAACTGCAGATGCTGGCGTGGATGTGGAGAGAAGGGAACACTTTTACACTGCTGGTGGGACTGCAAACTAATACAATCTTTTTGGAAGGAAGTATGGAGAACCCTCAAAGAACTCAAGCTGGACCTCCCATTTGATCCTGTAATCCCATTACTGGGCATCTACCCAGAAGGAAAAAAATTCTTTTATCATAAGGACACTTGCACTAGACTGTTTATTGCAGCTCAATTTACAATCGCCAAAATGTGGAAACAGCCTAAATGCCCACCAACCCAGGAATGGATTAACAAGCTGTGGTACATGTATACCATGGAATATTATTCAGCTGTTAAAAAAATGGAGACTTTACACCTTTGTATTAACATGGATGGAAGTGGAACACATTATTCTTAGTAAAGCATCAGAAGAATGGGGAAGCATGAATCCTACGTACACAATTTTGATATGAGGACAATTAATGACATGGCAGGGGTAGGGGAATGGGAGAGCAGAGAGAGGAAGAGGAAGGAGGAGTGGGGAAGGGGATAGCAGAGAGAGGGAAGGAAGGAAGGAGGGGGTAGGGTCTTGGTGTGTGCCACACCTTTTGGGGGCAAGACACGAATGTAAGGGGGACTTTACCTAACAAATGCAATCAGTGAAACCTGGTTTCTTATACCCTCAATGAATCCCCAACAATAAATTTTTTTAAAAAGCTCTTCAAGGGGGTGGAGTAAAGATAGCCTTAATTTGTACTATTTATAGTTTTCTTGTTCGCTGACCAAGGATCTCTGCTACCAGATGCTCTCTCGTGGCCATGGTAGATTTCAAGCTACCAACATGATGTCATTAGACATGGGCTTGGAATTCCCAGATGTGAATTGTAATGTGTGGAATGATACTAAGTGACAAAATTCCAATCATTCACAATCACTGTGAATTCCATTCACAGTGTAGACTGTGAATGATAAGCTTGAAGGTGAAGGTGAGAGCACATGACAGCATTGGCGAGAAGCCAAGCTTTGACGGGAAAAACTTCCCTCACATAGCGTGATATCACATGGGAAGGAGACTGGAGGCTGAACTGGGACATTCACTGCATGTCTAACCAAAGCCAAACCACAAGGAGGGAAAATTCTACATAAAATGTCCTCTAACTGCCAGCTTCTTTATCACTATGTTGTGGCTTTTCTGGAGTTTCAAAAATTAATCCATTGCCTCTGTTTGAAAGGATCCAAATTGCCTGTTGTTTGGGTATTGATGTAGTTTAAGTGGACATAAGCTGCATAACCACGTAGTCCCCAAGGCTTTCCATAGTGTGCCAAAACCACCGGTGGGAGAGAGTAGGAGGGAAGGGAAGAAGGGGGAAAAGGACTCCACAGAGGAAAGGTTTTTTTTTTTTAATGGTTTCTGATTTAATTTTTTTTATTAGATCATAACTGTGTACATTACTGCATTTATGGAGTACAATGAGGAAAGGTTTTTTTTTTTTTTTTGAGATGGAGCCTCAAGCTATCCCCCTGGGTAGAGGGCCATGGCATCACGCTCACAGCAACCTCCAACTCCTGGGCTCAAGCGAGTCTCCTGCCTCAGCCTCCCAAGTACCTGGGACTACAGGCGCCCGCCACAACGCCTGGCCATTTTTTGGTTGCATCCATCGTTGTTTGGCAGGCCCGGGCTGGGGATTCGAACCCACCACCTTAGGTGTATGTGGCTGGCGCCTTAGCCGCTTGAGCCACAGGCGCCGAGCTGGAAAGGTTTTTTAATGAATTTGTTTGTTTTAGTAAAGAATGGAGAGGAGAGCAGAGACAGAGGAGAAGGATGTGCCGTAATAACTTCATATATTTTAATAAACAAGAGTTCATATTCACAGCTCACAGTTGGCTTCATCCAAATTCCCAGGGCTAAGGTACCTTCCTCATCCGGCTTCCAGGAGACCTTCCTTGGTTTCCATTCTACTTTACCATTGGCCTCTGCTCATTTCTATTTCTCATTTCTCCTCTTCTTCCTCCCCTTTTAATGTTGTAGTGCCCCTGAGGCTCAGGCCTTGGTCCTCCCCTATTCTTTATCAGTGCACATTCCTTTGGTGATCTTACCAGAGTTCATGGCTTTAAGTACCATCTATAGGCCCATGACCCCCAAAATGGTATCTCCAGCTCAGCCTGCTCCCTCAAATTCCAGAATTATATATCTGATTGCCTATTTGATCCTTTCCCTTGGCTGTCTCACAGCATGTTCAAAGCCAGCTCCTAACCCAACTCCCAAGGCCTGTTCCTCTCACAACCTTCCCCATCACAGTCAAAGACAATTCCATGTTGCCATTCACTCAAGCCAAAAACCTTGGAGTCATCCTTGACTCTTTTCTTTTGCTCATACCACAAATACAGTCAACCTATCAGGAAATCCTATTGTTTTTACCTTCAAATTTATACATATCTAACCATGATACAACAACTCCATGACCACCACCCGAGTCAAGAGCATTGCCATGCCTTGCATGGATCATGGTTTCTTGTGTTCCATTGCACTCTGAGAAGCAGACATCCTGGAGTCATAAATGCAAGAGATTTTGGGGGGTGGGGGAATGCCTGTGAAAGATGGGGAGTGGACCAGGAGCAGGCAGGAAGAGGCCTCAGACTGTGACACAGGTCTGACATCTAAGAAAGAAGCAAGGCCAGTAAGGAGGCAGAATCAGATGGGAAGAGCCTCAGATTGCACTGCCCCTGTGAGACAATGTCAGTCAGGCTACAGGTGGTGGGGGGAGTGGAGGCAAAGGTCCTGTCAGAGAAGTCTCAAATCCTTCAGGAATAGGCCAGTACTAATACCCATGCTGTGCAAGGCATACATGATCCTGGCATGAGCAGGAATGTGGCTGTGAACAGAGAGGTGGCAGCTGGGACCACCAGTCAGTTATGCTCCCACAGCAGGAAATTGGGACTGCACATTTTCAGGGAAACATCACACTTCTTACCTGTCTTCCTGCATCCTCCTCTACATTCTATTCTCCACACGACAGCTCCTAATTCTTTAAAATGAAACCCTAAGTTCTCCCTATGGATAGAAATTTCTCCTTCTCTTCTGTGATCCCACCTCCTGGCCCTTCACTGCCCCCATTCCAGCCTCATCACCATCACTGCTTTCCCCTGGTCTCTGCACTGGCTGTTTCCTATGTTCAGAACACTTTTTCCCATATATTGCTTGTGCCACTCCCTCACAACTTCAAAGCTTTGCTCACCTCTCCTTCTCAAAGACATCTGCCTTGATCACTCTATTTAAAATTGCCACCTGATTCTTCTAGCCCCTGTGACTTCCTATCCTCGGGGTGTCTGCTTTCCTTTTTATTTTTCATGGTATATAGCATTTTCTTACTTGCCACACAATACTTATTATTTTGTGTTCATCTCTCCATCCCATCCTATAAGGTCAACTCAATGAGGACAGGGGTCTTTGTCTGCTTGCTCACTTATAGATTCCAAGCAGCGATCACAGTGCCTTAGACATAGTAGATGCTCAATAACTATTGTTTGAACCATCAAGTAAATGTGTAGAGTAGGGTTTATGTGTTTTTGGTTTACATAACTCCATTTTGAAAAAAAATTAAATATAAAAGAACACTGTCTTCAGCTGAGAGCCAGTGTTGAAAGTTACAATGACTTACCTGAAACTACTGAAATGGCCTTCAAAGCTCTGAGCACTCGGAAGCTACGCAGTGAGGAAAGGTTGATGCGGATACTTGGAAAATATGATACAATCCTACAAGACAAAGCATAGGGAAAGCCTAAGATTGCTCAGTCCTGCTGCTGCACCACACATCTCCACAAGGACCATGAATAAGCCTGAGGCCTGCATCCACCCTGGTGAGCCCTGCAGCCTCACCTTTCTAGCCTCACCTTCATCTCAGGATCCGGCAATATCACTGCCCATTGCTATGGACCATGAACAACATAAGAGGCTATTTTCAGCTAATCTTCATATGTAGGCATAGATGAGGATTCCTTAGAACAATCCATGCAATTATGGCTGTATCTATAGATAATAGAAATCCTTCCAAACATTTATTGACTAGCTTCTAGTTTCCAGGCCCCAATGTACTTTGATAAGATCTTCCAGCCACCATATAGCCAACCCTGGATGTGAACCCAGCCAGTCTGGCTTCAGAACCCACATACTCAACCACTGCGTTACACCATCTTTCAATAACCAAGAGGACACAACCATCAAACTTCAAATGTAAAACCTGGAAATTAATAGCACCTACCTCCAAAGGCTTATGTGGATATTAGGAAAACATATACAAAGTGTTTAACACAATGCCTCACACAAATTAAGTAATGATAATTACTTATTATAGCTGTGCTAGTAATAGGCCATTGCTTTCCTGGCTTTTTATTTTACTGACTCCATCCCATGATTCATATGCCAAATCAGCATCTTTTTCTTCAGGATGAACTTCAATCCCTACCTCACACCATACACAATAATTAACTCAAAATAGACCATTGACTTAAACATAAAAGCCAAAACTATGAATCTTTGTGACCTTGCAGAAGGCAGAGATTTTTTTATGCTCCTTGGCTTCTTCTACATGCTCTGACAGCACAACACATACATACCCCCTATTCAGCTACTCTTCCATAGCATATTGTAATGGTCATTATATCTTTTCCTCTCTCAACTATGAGCTTCATGAGGCTGAGAGCTATGTCTTTTTTTTTTCATTGTCACAACCCCTGTGTCTTGCATAAAGCCTGGCCCATAACTGTTCAATGTTGGTGAGTAAATGGCTTAAAGAATGAGAGCATGAGTGTTCACTTAGAAATGGGTTTGTGCATGGAGGCCTCTGGACGATTGGCTGTGTAGTGTTATTTAGAGCCAACCAACACAGCACTCAGAACTCTAAGCATTATGAGGCCACACTCAACCACTCACACAGACACACAGCCCTGATGCAGGAAAAAGCCTTCCTTCCCGTCCCAAGTGTCTTCTATTCTTACGCTGTTCCAATGACAATGGAGTCCAGCCAATTCCATGGATCTCGAAGAAAAGAGAATTCATCCAAAATGAAACCTCTTGCCAATATTTTTATCAGAGCTTCAAAAATATAAATTCCAGTGAAGACAAACCTACAAAGCAAATCATTCAGAAGAAAAAAGAACATTATAAGTGATGTGAACAGCAAAGAGCCCTTTTGTCATATCTGGCCTTGATATTATATTCCATTTCAGTGTGACATTTAAAATTGTAATCTTTAGTAAGCTGGAGTTCATAAAGACAAGTTCTTTTTTTTTTTTTTTTTTTTTGAGACAGAACCTCATGCTGTCCCCCTGGGTAGAGTGCTGTGACATCACAGCTCATAGCAACCTCCAACTCCTGGGCTCAAGTGAGTCTCCTGCCTCAGCCTCCCAAGTAGCTGGGACCACAGGTGCCTGCGACAACACCCAGCTATTTTTTAGTTGTAGCCATCATTGTTTGGCAGGCCCGGGTTGGATTTGAACCCACCACCTTGGGTGTATGTGGCTGGTGTGCCATAGCCACTTGAGCCACAGGCACCAAGCCAGAGGCAAGTTCTTTAAGCAAGTTCTAATATTTAGAATTTCCAAAATACAGACCCATCTGGCAAGATATTAATATGTAAAATGCATAAAGCTGCTTTTCAAGACCTAGCCTATGGCCATATTCTGTTTGTTTGTTTTTTTTTTTCAGATTGATATGAGAGAATGAAGTCTTCTTAGTAATGCATCAAAGGAATGGAAAAGCAAGTATCCAATGTACTTAATACTAATATGAAGCCAATAGGTAAACAACTGGGGCCATATTCTTCAGAGTAGTTTCAGCTAACATAAGGCCTTACAACTGGAGGTTATACTTTGTCACCACCATTCCAGTGCTGTCACTCTGATGTAGAGAAGGAGATGATGATTAGGAACAGTTAAGAGAGTAAATTACAAGGCAAAACCTGGATCTTTCCATGTTCTTTGTTCATAGGCTGGAAAATTTAATATTGTTAAGGTTTATTACCCAAAATGATTTACATATTCAGTACAATCCCTATCAAACTCCCAAAGGGATTTTTTTACAAAAATATAAAAAGTCACTCTAAACTAGGACTTCCAAGGGACCCAGAATAGCCAAAATAATCTTGAAAACAAAGAACCAAGTTGGAGTTCTTACACTTCCTGATATCAAAACTTATTACAAAGCTACATAATCAAAAGTGTGTGGCAGTAAAATTAAGATGGTCATATAACCAATAGAATATAATAGAAATCCCAGAAATAAACTTTCACACTTATGATCAAATAATTTTCAATAAGGCCAAGACTATTCAATGAAATAAGGACAATCTTTTGACAAATGGTGTTGAGAAAACTGTATATCCACGTGGCAAAGACATGAAGTTAGCACCTTATCTTACAACAGACATAAAAATTAACTCATTATGGATTAAAGATATGGATGTGAGAAAATATTTTCAAAGCATACATTTGGCAAGATATTAATATTTTCAAAGCATACATTTGGCAAGATATTAATATGAAATGCATAAAGAACTCCTACACCTTGACAACAAAAAATTAAATAACCAAATTCAAAAATGGCAAAATGACTTAGTCATTTCTCCACAGATAATATACAAATTACCAATAAGCATATGAAAAGATACTCAATATCACTAATCACTAGAGAAAGTAAATCCAAACTATAGTGAGATGACCTCATCATACCTGTCAGAATGGCTGCTTTTAAAAAAAATAATAACAAGCAAGCATTGGTGAAGATGTGTAGAAACTGGAGTGCTGGTACACTATTTTGAAATGGTACAAAGCCTATGAAAAACAGTATGGAGACTTCCCCCAAATTAAATATAGACCTGCAATATGATCCTGGAAATCCACTTTTAGGTACATATACAAAAGAATTGAAAGCAGGGTCCTGAAGAGATATTTGCACATCCATGTTCATAGTAGTATTATTCACAATAGCTAACAGATGGAAGCAACCCAATTGTCCTTTGACAGATGAATGGATGAAGAAAATGTGGCATATACTTATGATGAAATGTTAATCAGCCTTAAAAAGGAAGGAAAATTTGTCCCATTCTACATTAATAAACCTTCCAGTCATTATGCTAAGTGAAATAAGCCAGTCACCAAAAAACAGATATGTATGGTTCCACTTATATGAGACAGGGCTAACGGGAAGAGGGGGGTGGGGAATTAGTGTTTCCAAGATACAGAGATTCAGTTTTGCAAGATGAAGAGTTCTAGAGATGGACGGTGGTGATGTTGTGCAACAATATGAGTGTACCCAATTCCACAGAACTTAAGATGGCGCATTTTTTGTTATATGTATTTCACTGAACTTTTAAGAACTGTTTTTCCTTTTTATTCCCTGACTCTTACATCACGGTTATCCTTGCCATAATTTGAATGTCCTCTCCAAAGCTTATGTTGAAATTTAGTTGTCATTGTGATAGTATTAAGATATGGGAACCTAAAAGGTGATTAAGCCATGAAGGCTCTTTTCTCGTGAATGGATTAGTGAATGCCGTGATCGCAAGAGTGGGTTTCTGATAAAATGCAAGTTCAGGTTCCTCTGCTCTTGCTGTCTTGATGTGCTTTGCTACCCTTCTATCTTCTGCCATGGGGTGACACAACAAGAAGGCCCTTACCAAAAGGCTGTCCCTCAACCTAGGATTTCTCAGCCTCCAGAACTGCTAAAATACATTTCTGTTCTTTATCAAGTACTCAGTCTGTGGTATTCTGTTATAGCAACGCTAAAAATTCTCTCATTTATTTCCCTTTTTCCTTTCCCCTCTCCAAAATTTTAGCTTATATCTTTTTCCATAATCCCAAGTTGTCAAAAATACTGGGTTTGCACAAATATACACTCACCACACACATCTGGGATTGAATCAATTAAATCAGCTTTAATTCAAAGCAGTCGATTCAGAGTAAAAGAAGCGGACCTTTTCTGATACAATATCCAGCCACTATTAGTCCCCAAAGCTAAGAAAACAAGATCTTGGGAACCTAAAAAACCTCAAAAAGCCAAGTACAATAATAGAAATGGTCATGAGGCTGCCACAGGCAAAAGCTTCTCTTTGCTTCAGGCTTTTTCTGGGCTGCTCTCGATCAAGGTAATAAGTGAAACCCATCAGATTAAATAATATCTGTTCTGAAATACCATCTTTTAAACCTAGGAATAAATTATCAAGTTATAAGTACTTTGATAAAAAGCTGTAATTGCAGGTTTGTGGGATTTTGCAAGTCTTCATCTAGAGTTTAAGCAAATGAGATAGCAGACCCTGGCTGCTGTTCCTGCTTGACCATCTAGCTTCCCACCTCTGACCCCCTCATTGTCTATTTTCCAGCTGAAATCTGGCCAATGGTGGGACAGGCCGACTAAGATGACATCTGATATAAAGTAGAGCCATGCATCTTTATCTGAGGACATTTTCAACAGCCTCCTCTCGTTCCCACTTTTATGTGTTCACTGCCTGAACTGCCTGTCCAAACACCTCCAGAGGAAAGAAATAGCTTTCCCCGACTTTACCCTTGCCTTTATGCTTCCCTATAGCCTAGAAAAGTGTTCTTTTCTATCTCTGCTTCATGGGTCTTTTAGTAATGAAAATGGCCTTAAAGCAAATAGCTTCCAATTGGGCTACTTTTTCCCATAATAGAGAGAGAAGACTTACTGCATCTCACCACAAGTGTTGGGCAGGGCAAACCACTACTGATCTCTCTCCTCCACAGATCCTGCCCTGCTAATCACAAAGTCTTCCAGAAAAGCTGCAGTAAGCAATGAGCAGCAGCCCCTGCGCTCTCAATTAGCTCTGCATATAACAGCCAAATCTCAAAAGAGGAGACCACATTCCCCAATGATGCTGCCAGGATGGTTTCTATACCCTGTGTTATGCATGCCCTCCCCAAGGCACAGCCCCTAAGCTGGCGAGCCTTAACCAGATTCCAGATTCCATGCAGCAACTGAGAGGGGCCATCCCTGCAAAGATCCCACCCAGCAGGGAAAAGAATTTTCCAAAGACAAATGGACCAAATCAGAACTTGTAATAAAAGAAAGAGCAATTTCCAAAGTCTGATCTCTAACCCATTTCCCAGAAACCACTAGAACCAAGTAAAGTAATACAGATGTAGTCTATAATTTGGAGAATCCTTCCAGGAAAAATGTAATGTGGAAGTGACTGGACACCACCCTCTCAAAGTTACACTGAAAATCTGTGGAATGATCTGAAAATAAAAACATTTTCTAAAGAAGCATAATGAGAACAAGGATCACCCAGATTGCAGGAGTAAGTGTCATCAACTCAACTCTCCCTGGAGCATCCACACTTCCTTACAGAGACACTTTCCTGGTGTTGCATTCCCAAATTAATTCTTCCAAATCTGGGATTCTTTGGTCCCATTCTCTACTAGAGACACAAGCTCCTGCCTTCACACCTCTAGCATGAGTACTTTCTTATCTGTGTGCCTAAGTCCCTCAAACTGAGATAGAGTAAATAAGTCATTGCCCCAGTCACTTTTTTTTTTTTTTTTTTTTTTTGGAGACAGAGTCTCACTATGTCACCCTTGGTAGAGTCCTATGGCATCACAGTTCACAGCAACCTCAAACTCTTGGGCTTAAGTAATTCTCTTACCTCAGCCTCCCAAGAAGCTGAGACTACAGGTGCCCACCACAACACTCAGCTATTTTTCATTGCAGTTGTCATTGTTGTTTTAGCTGGCCCAGGCCAGGATTCAAACCTGCCAGCCTCGGTGTATGTGGCTGGCACCATAACCACTGTGCTAAGGGCACCTCGCCTGTCCCAGTCACTTTTAATAAATATCAGATGAGCCATTCCACTCACAAGAAGCTTCTTGCATCTGCCTAAGCCTGAGTGGGTCTCTGAATTACTAGAGTATCTAAAAGGAAATAAATAGCTGCAAGGGTAACTAATGCAGGAGAGGTAGTACAATTCTCAGAATTTGCTAAGTACAACAACACCAGGAACACTACTATTAATATCCTTAAAAAGAATCCTTAAAAAGGAGTCTGCAAGGAACTAAGTCAAGGAGAAAGGAGAAACAGAACACAAAAGATATTTAGAAAGTATTAATAATTGAAA